CGGGTAACGCCGGCATACTGCAGCAAATTGGGGGAAGATTGCCGACAATTACTGTTGATTACTCAACGCCAAGTAAAAGGCAATCCTCTGCTTTAAATTTGAAGTATGACGCGACAGATTTAAATTCTTTGAAATTAATTCAAGTGTTAGTACGTCTATTTATTACGTTTTTCTCTCTTTATTATGTTTTTTAAGGAAACACAAGTGGCCTTTTGGGATTCTGGGACGGAGACCAAGTAAAAGAATATCTGCTTCCTGACGGAACCTTCCTTGACACTAATTCAAACCAATCACGAATTCATTACGAATTTGGACAAAAATGTAAGCTGATGCACTTGAGACCGTGCGCTGAATATTTACAGTAATCCTTGTTCACTTAGACCTACAACCAGAACGCTAATTGGGTACCTCCTGTAGAACTCAGAGGGTGACATGACGTTACTCGTTAGGAGGAGGTATTCATCTAACACTGTTTGACATGCTTTTGGCAGCCCTGATGGTTACTTTCTAACCTGTAAAAATCCAAGATTTCTTGAAGGAAAAGTCATGCCTTCAGTTTGATGATAAGTTGCATTTCCCTGGCCTAAAATGTTTTTTAAGCACAGGACTTAGGTTAAAACACTTTAAGCTACTCTTGAGATATTTGTGAACCTTTTCAAACCTTTGCTGTTTAAAATATACTTCTTAAAACGTGACCAAGTTACATAAATGTAGTGAAAATGTGCTCAGCTTAGCCTTCAGTTAAGGCCTGACCCATGAAAATTGTTAAAAATTCGTGGAAAACTGTTGGTCATCCTAACCGTAATATCATCCTCACAGGGGCTGCGACTGAAGAGGACTCATTATTCACATACGATTATGGCGAGAATCATAACACTTATGTCGATGTGGGATACATACCGGTATTTTTCGATCAGGATTTGATTTTTGATGACGTAATCTTCGGTCAGAAGGCTCGAAATGTGTGCGGTAATAACAAGCAATGCCTGTTTGATATTTACACCACTGGAAAGATCAGCATTGGGATGAATTCTAAGAAGGCCTTGGAGTCGTTTGCTGTGGTCGTAAATGAAATAGAGACCCCAGGTTAGTGGCTCTTTTGTCCAGTGTGGATATTATGAGAAATGATTGATGAAAAGCAATGCTGAAAAGAGAAGAGATGCGTAATCCCCTGCTTAAAAGTTTTATAACGCTGCTTTTTGCAACATAGTATTGCCAAATCCCTTATTATGCTGTTACATGTTTTAAAATATCAACTTCAGAATTGGTAACTTTGTTGACCTTTACATT